AAATGGCATCGGATGTGATTTATGGTTATGCCACAGCTTTGGTTTCTTTACGTTTGAATACGTAAAATGAATGCCTCATACTTTGTTGTCTATCTGGTTTTATTATTGGTGTATAATGTTTGCTGTTTAAATATTTTCACGTTTATTTCGTTTGTGCATCGGGTGGCGGAATGTCGGGACGACGGGCCGTTTGTTGCTTTTGTTGTTGTTTGTATCACGATTAAGAAAATGATTCATGTAATTTCTCGCGTTCAAGTGCTATAATTTTCCATTTCGACTGCTTTTGCCATTCATTTTCTTTGCAAACAAGTACAAAGTGCTGTCTTGTGTATTGACTGTTGATATACATTGTTTAGCCGACATCTTCAATAGCATAAGCACTTGAAATTTATTTGTGCGTCTCGAGTTAGCTGCGCTTTTTTTGTTTGCACGCTCATATAAGTGTCTGTGTGCTCTCAATCCAAAAGCTTTTCCCTCACAAGTGTACTCATTTCACTTTTTCTACCATCACATTTCTTTTTTTGCATTTCGCTTCGGTTTTTGTTCCATTCTCTATCTGCTCTTGAGACCGCGAATAAAAATTCCACTACCATTCAGTGCATATATCAAAAGACCAACCGCGTTCATGCGCATACTATAAATGGACCAAATAAAAATAAGCATGATACATGCGTTCACGTCCGATACCAACCAGATTCGCTACTGTACAATTAACGGGGTGAATTCTGATGTTGAATGCTTCGTAAACGAAGTCTGCGGGTGGTGATTTTTGTATTTATTTATCATTAGAGGCTCTGCTCAACTTATGATTCTGAATTTTGTTTGGTACCATTTTTTTTTGCTTTTGCTCAATTTTCACGTCTTTTCTGCAATGTGGCTGTTGTCATATTGGAGTATCGAGCGGAAAGCGAGTGATTTTGGCAACAAAAAAAGAGAAGAAAAAAATACTGAATCTAGCACGCCATTTGGTCGACAAAGTGGAAAAAATGTTTGCAAAAAAATGCATTATTTATCGCATCACTGCCAGAACCATGCTCTGCATATTTTTTTTAGTAAATTGCGTAGAAAACGAACCATGGATAAACAAATATAATCGGATGCACACATACACAAAAAAAGGCTAATGCAAAACGTGATCTTGTGCTGTTCATGCAAATCTTTTGTTCCATTTGCCCCGAACATATTTATTTTTGCGTTAGGCGGGTGGCGATGTGGTTTTTATTTTATTTTTATTTTGATCGATACTCATGAAAAGCAGTCAATTGACTCTACATTTTTTGAGTGTATTTCATTTGAAGCCTTTTTAAGGTTGTTGATTTTTCGCTCATTTTCTCTTTCTCTATGTTTCGATGAATATAAAATAGTTTATTCTAACATTTTTTCGTGGGATGCATAATGTTTTGCCCGGGCAAATATTTAAAGGTGATGCGCTTAGATTGAACATTTCTCTAAAACCGTATTTCATGGTATTTGTTTGCAGCAAACACAACTTTTTCGTTCATCAAAGCCTAACGTGTTTCACGTGCCACGTGCAACGAAGTTTGATGAGTTTTTGTCATGCAAACCAAATCAATTTAATTCAAAGCACGCATCGAAAAATTAACAAAACGGATTTTCGATGCGACAAAATACTATATAGAGAGCATCGCTCCCAAAATTCCATGACTTTTACTGCAGTCACATTAATTTCCAGTTTGAATTTCATCCGAACGAAAAGGGTCAACGCTTGTATTATACCTCTTTTGATCAAATTTCATTGGCTATTTTAGCCAATTTAACGACATTGTATATGCGCCATAAAGTCACTGCCAAAGTTTACTCATTATGTACCCGAGAGCAGGGAAAATGGCGAAAGGTTTTACTATTTATCAAGAAGTCGCCGGATGATACTCTTTCTCTGGCAATTTGTCGAAGCAAGTGGGAGAAGTTTTTGTTTTTGCATTCAATCATAAACGTGTTTCGTGAATGATTTGAAAGCAGAACGGTGGAGCCGAAATGCAATAATAATTGGCTGAGAATCTATGAAAAATGGTAGATAGTAGTCAGTTTTGTCTAGTGAACGTTATTTTTTCAATACCAATTAACAAAGTACATTTTGTATTGTACGCCATTTATCAATTTCATATACAATTTTTATTGCATTTGATTGATTCAATGAGAATATGGTTTTTACGAAAGAAGACACTCCAATACGATGATGATTAAATACCCGAAACGCCTACGCTACTTACTAGTATCTTATTATTGGTTATAGATATTCGGTATCTTTTGAATGAAAAATTCCCGCAAAATTTTTGACAGAGAATAATTGAATAACCGACCGATGATGTGTATTTTGGCATTACGCGTTATAGGAGTGAGATGCAACCTTCTATTTAATGTACAATGTACGCATATCTTCTGCTTAGGAATTGCTGGATTAAATGGAATTGATTTTTTTTTTTTGGAGTTACAATACCATTTTGTGTACATGATGTTCTCGAAATCCGGAAATTCTTAATACCAATTTTAAAAGTATTTTTATTTTGGTGACGCATTATTTTTAAATGAACCAAATACAATACGTAGGCGACTATTTAAGTTTCTTCAATATGTATGTTTTAGTATTGCCCGATGCAAACCATTGTCATATTCGTTAAGTTTAACATTTTGTAGCATAAACGTTCTCAGAACGTTTTGTCATTCGATCGTTATTTGTATTGTTTACCGTAACATGTAAATTGCGTCTCAGCCAAAAAATGAATTTTACTCGTGAAAATTTTCGAGCGATTATTTTTTTCCACTTTCGATTGGGTGTATCACAACAACAGTGTTTTGATCAACTTCATTTGGCCTTTGGCGATGAAGTACCAAGTCTTCGGACAATTTATAATTGGTACAACGAATTCAAGCGCGGTCGCCTATCGCTCATCGACGAGTTCCGCGAAGGTCATCCAAAATCAGTTGTTGTACCAGAAAACATCGATGCTGTCAGAAATATGATAATGGAAGATCGTCATGTAACATATCACGAGATTGAGGCATCCCTGGGCATTAGTGCGACCAGCGTATTTAAGATTTTACATGAACATTTAGCTGTCAGAAAGATTTGCTCTCGTTGGATACCACATAATTTGACAATCGCTCAAAAAAAGGCTCGTGTCGATTGGTGTAAACAAATGCTCAAGAAATTCAATCGTGGTGTTTCAAAATCCGTGTATTTTATCGTCACTGGTGACGAATCATGGATCTACGCGTATGAGCCCGAAACTAAACAGCAGTCGACTGTATGGGTCTTTCAAAGTGAAGATAACCCAACAAAAGTTGTTCGAGCTCGAAGTGTTGCGAAGCAAATGGTCGCCTGTTTTTTCGCGATAAGTGGTCATGTAGCAACAGTTCCACTAAAGGCTCGTAAGACGGTCAATTCTGATTGGTACACCACCATTTGTTTGCCCGAAGTGTTTGATGAAATAAGAAAAAACAACCGCCGTCGCAAAATAATTCTTCATCATGATAATGCGAGCTCTCACACATCTCATCAAACAGTCGATTATTTGACCGATCAAAAGATCGATTTAATGGGTCATCCGCCGTACAGTCCTGATTTGGCACCCAACGATTTCTTTTTATTCCCGAGCGTGAAGAATAAACTGCGTGCTCAACGATTTTCATCGCCCGAAGAAGCAGTTGATGCGTTCAAAACACACGTTTTGGAGATATCACTTTCGGAGTGGCATGAATGCTATGACAAATGGTTCGAGCGAATGCAAAAGTGTATTGATCATCATGGCGAATATTTTGAAAAACAATAAAACCATTTTCGATGAAACCCCATTGTCTTATATATGTTTTTGAAAAAACTTAAATAGTGACCCTCGTATTATAGAGTTGTCACAGCATATTTTATTTGAATGTAAATTGACACAATCTTTTCACTTTGCCCGTAAATATTGTAAATTGAAAGGAATATCAAATACAAATAAACCCATTTTCTGGTTTTCCGTCAATAAATCACGCGAAAAAACGGAAAAGAAGTGGTAGAAAGAGAAAAAAGGTTGAAAGGGTTTACGCAATATCAGGATATTTCAATTCAATTTATCTCTCAATAAATTCAATGAACCACAGCAAAACAGACAAAAAAATAAATGTACAACAAATCTGAACGGTCGAGACTTTCAGACCCGATTGGTTTTCAGTGAATTTAAATGTACATATGTTGTCGTAAATAGACCTCCTTAAATCGCCCAAAATCACAGCATGTTACGAATAATTTACATGTTTGCGGTCAATAAAGACCGGCATATTTTACATTTTGCATAACTAACGGATATATGTGGATCTGTTGTTTCGGGTGCGATTCTCTCTCTCTTTTTGAACGAAACTGTGTGGTTTTCTGTGTCACAGCAAATATTTACCATCTGTGTTTCCACAAATGTCGGATTTTGCTCAGATTTTATTCAAACAAAGGAAAAAGTGATAGAGCGCTTTTTATCATTCTTATTTGCAATTGAGATTTTAAACTCATTTTAAAACATACACGTTTGATGTTTGAATAATCACTTTTACAAACAGAGAAAATTACAAAAACAAGCGAAAGACCACTTGTGATTTCATAGAAATGATTAACTCAAGTTATTGACCGCTGAAACAAAATACTGTTTGTTAAAGGTAAATATTTTTTTATTTCGAAACACATACGAACGAGGTTGAATTTTATGAAATTTATTACATGTTTCAATTTCGAAATATGTGAAACATTTATGACGTACATTTTCATATAAATAAACCACCATAAAGGTGCAAAATACCAGAATTGAGAGCAGCTGCAAAACATTCACGTAATTGCTCATTTTCATATTATTACAATTGATTTCTTCATATGTTTTGAGCCGGTCAAAGTTTAAAAAAGAGAAACTTCAAACATTCGTATGATATTTTTTATTCGTTGATAAGTTAAAAAAAAACAAAACTTGTATGAATTTTATAGAAAAATGTATTCATTTTTAAGAATTTATTTATATTTAACAATGACAGGATGAACTAGATGAAGATGAAGAAGATGAAGACGACGAGGATGACGATGAAGACGACGAGCACGAAGAGGAGGAAGACGACGAGCATGAAGACGGCGATGAATTGCAACAACATTTTTCAGAATTTTGTTCAATTTTTCTGCAGCCTGCTCGAGAAGTTGGTATGTCGTAGCGTTTTTTTATGAAATCCGTACATTTTTCTGCCATCATCACAATGGGAACATTTGGATTACCCCAAACAAGCAATGGCATTCTGAAAAATAAAAAACAATAATTGGTCACCGGCAAAAGCCAATTGAAATGATATTAATTGTAATTGTACATTGATGCATCAGCAACAGCTAATCCTTCTGTGCCATGAACTTTACATTCAGTATTGACAACGGATTTTGCTGGTATTTCGTGTTTCTTTGGCGTAGGTCCCATTCGACAAGTACCGGCTGGATGATATACGGTTGCTCCCATGTAGTATAGATAGCAATTATAATATTCATCCGATGTAATATTAGTATACTGTTCGCATTCTGGTAAAGGTAATCGAATGAATTGTCCATCTGCAGCTTTCCAGGTTGGTGAATCCAAAAATGACAATATAAGCTTAATGGATTGTATTAAAGATGTTCGGTCATAAGGATCGCTAAGGTAATCATAAAATATGTATGGATTCAGAAAAGCATTTGGACCGTTGACGCCATTCAATCCAATTTTCCCGCGCGCCTTTCCATCTAGTAACGTAGGAATTCCCAATAAAACGACTCTTTCCTGATTTATTTTAAGTAATTCATCGACGATTGGTTGCTTATATGCTGTTACGGCTAAAATAACGGGAAGATTTAAAGATTGCTTCGCAAATAGAAGGAAATAACCTTCGATGTGTGGAAGCGGATTTGATTCGGTATTGGCAAAGAAAACACTGGATAATGTTCCAATGCCAGAAAAATCACCCGATCTTGGATCACTGTAATATTGCACAATACTGCTGAATAATTGGCCAGCTGATAGAGTGGGCCCAGAAAATGACATCCATATAAAAGCACCTAAATGTAATAACATTTATTTTGAGTTTGAAAATACACGAAAATTTCAGGTCAATTAAATTACCTAAATGGTCTTGCAAATATCGTCCAGAAGGTAATGGGAGCCATGACTTTATATGGTTATCATTCAAATCTTCTTGTAGACCAATTCCTACAAATAATATTAATTACCAATACCAATAATAATAATTACAATATTGATTCTATACTGACCACTTAATTGTAATATCAATGGAGTGCCGATGGCCCCAGCACACAATATTACTTCTTTTCGAGCATATGCCACATATTGTTTACCATTATAATAGAACTCAACACCGATAGCCTTGTTTTTTTTGAATATAACTCGAGTCACCACCGCACATTTAACAATTTTCAAATTGGATCTATATTGGATTGGATTCACATATGCCTTGCACACAGCGTACCGTCGGCCATTAAACAGAGTTCCGTGTGCGTTGCATATGCCCGGTCCATGCGGAACGTTAACATCGTTCAATATCGGGAAACCAGACTCACTAACACCGGCCATTATAAACTTATTCGTATCGTCACTGTAATATTGTGATATCAACAACGGTCCGCTACTACAGTGATATTTGCTGTTCAAACCTGGAACCGTGTTGCCTTCCGATTTTAAAAAATACGGAAGACAATCTTTAAAACTCCAGCCCTTGCATTTATACTCCGATTCCCATAAATCGTATACATGAGGCGAACCACGAATATCAAACATACAGTTCATGGCAGGAGTGCCACAAAACATTTTTCCGCGTGGTGTCCAACATCCACCTTAAGCACAAATGGATGAATATCTATGAAATCTAATCAAATTTATTTAATTATAGTTCATAAAAGCATACCCTGCATTCCTGCACAGGTTCGATTGTCTTTACTAAAATATTGCCAGTCTTGGTTTGATCGCATGAAAGACGTAAAAAATGCGGGCACCTAAAATCAATTACGATAAACGTTAACAGATTTCTTCATTTAGATGCCGACTTATGCCGACTTATATTGATTGATTACTTCAGTAACTGGCATTGGATCATAACAACCGGCTTCTAATATTAGAATTGTGTGATGGGGTGATTCACTCAATCTTGCGCTTGTAACTGATCCACCACTTCCTGAACCAACAACGATAAAATCAAATTCGATTTTACCTGAAATAAAAAAAACGCTTTATTTGGCTGTTGTTTGTAATCCAAAAATGATCTTACGTTTTGATAACACTTCGGCGGCATCGTTTTTGTATTTAATTTGTGAATCTTTTAAAAATTGGGCAACTAGAATAGCAATGATTGCTTCAAAAATGATTTGCACTATGGACAATGTGATTGGCGTAGTTTGTAAAACCCCCATTTGTGTTAAAATCACATTGAATGGATCGGTAAAATTTGACATGGCTGTACTTCTTGCAATGATTAACACTTAGTAATTCAACTGAGCACGGGCTGATTGATTTATAGATGTATTTCATTTTAATATCACAAGCGTGATATCGTGGTTGATTTCACATATGTGTACCAGTATACAATATTTCGTCAAGTATTGCAAAGATGGCCAACAATAAACTGATAAGGTCATTGTTCAGCATTTTTTCACAACGAATAGAGGCACGTGCGTCCCATTTGGAAATTATTCGTATTTAATTTTGCCAACGAATACCATACCCAAAAGGAGGCGAATCAAAAAAATATATTGTTTGGGATTGAATGTTTCATTTTATTTTTCACCATAAAATATAAATGTTATTTTAGCTGGTTTGTTGCTTGCAAAATCACATATACTTTAATTTTTTTCGTCATGATTTTACGAAATTTGCATCGATGACATCGCTGCGATGTTGAAACTTGGGCAATTGTTTGTAAGTGTTTCATAAAATGTTTCGAAGTTTAAAAAAAATATATCTCTATCAATGACATTTTTGTGCTCGAAACTGTTAGAGGATTTAATATAACTCCTATAAAGAACTTGTATCACTCCATATCTTTTGTGAGAATGAAGATCAGCCAAATCCATGTCATCATCGATCATAATCTCTTTATCTTTATTTCCATCTTTCGTTGCCATTCGTGCATCCGTTTCTGATTTTCCAGCTGTAGATTTTCGTTCAGGTGATTTTGGTGTTTCCGTTTTCCTCGTCGGCTGGCTTTTCAGCGCCTTCAATCGTCTTTGCTGTAATAAAAAGAATAATTAAAATAAGAACTTTTGATTTGGAATGTTAACTAACATTCGCATTTAACGCATTTAACTTGATGATTATTGCGGTTTATTTTGGTTGTGAATGTCTGATGACAAATCTATGAGATAAAGTTTATGCAAATTCACTACATGTATAATTTGGTTAGAATAAAAATTTTACTGTGTCCATAAAAGTGGAACAATGAGTTTTTTCACATAGTTTGTTTGATACGGCGCTCCAAACCATCCAACCTCACCAATACTAGGCTCAACAAGTCTATTATAGACTGCAACTGCTGCTGTTGCGAAGGCTGTTCCACCTCTTGTTGAAGCCTAGGGGAGAGAAACAAATTCTAATTTTTTAGTTTATTGCTTGAAAAATCTAGTAATGCTAATATTCCTTTATATGAAAGTGCTAGTTTTCTCGTTTTTTGTATTGACAGTTCTACCAACTGTACGTAATGAAGTATTCTGGCGTTTTGTCGTTTGACATAATGATATGTGGATTAAATAATTTTTCATTTATAATAATATGAATATTTATTTAATTCCACTTTTTTAATACAAAATTGTGCAAAAAATGGTTGTTCCTTTCAAAAGTCCAGTTATAAAACTTATTTGGTCATCGAATGACATATTGATGACACAAAATCAAAATGCCGAATCAACTAATTTTTGCTAATTTTTCTAGTTTTTTCTAGTTTTCTTGTGTAATTGTGCGTCGTACATTGAAAATACAAGCATTGTGTGCGTCGCACATGGAATGTGAGTGTACAGTGTACACACTACTATGTGCGCACACTGACAGAGTGAAAATTACAGCCCTGATAACACTTCGTATGCATCATTTCTATACTTTAAAATAGAATCATTTGAATCGTTTAAAATTGAGCTGTTATAATTATGTACAAAATAAAAATGCTACGAATTTGTTCCAAAGTTGTGGGGAACCATTGAAGCGAATTTAATTCAGTTAATAATGTACTGAAGGGTTCAGCGAGATTCGCCATAATTATTGTAATTTAATGAAATGTTCAAAACTCAATAAATATTCTCGAAAATGTATATTAATTCACAGAATCGTGCGCAACAGCAAGTATTTCCAGTGTTTCATATATCGCTATCAGTATCCGTAAGATAACTGAGAGGGATATATTCAGCCAGATATGAGTGTCAAAATTGTGTCAAATTGCATTAGACACGCTTACCATCTCCAATGTCTAATTTAGACAGTGTCATATCTGGCAGTGTCCCTCTCAGTTATCTTACGGATACTGATAGCGATATATGAAACACTGAGTATTTCAGCATTCATTCTTCTTTAAATTCTTAATGATGAATGAATTTCATATCGAAGTGGAATTCGTATCTGGTTCGTTGTCAACTCAGATTTGCATGTTTTTTATTTTTGAAAATTTTAATCTGTTTCGGAATAATTTTAACGAAAAAAATACAAATCAAGGTAGAGTTTATTTGGTATTCAATCATTTAATCTTGCACAATTAAACGAATGTAAAAGAATTCACATCTGTTGTTTTCTTAATAAGTCTCATAATGTAAATCTGGTGGGTTCGCTTTAAATACAAACCGAACGTAATTGAAACGGCATTGATCCGTTTAGTCCTTATATAGCATTTAAAATGAAATGCTTGTAAAAAATGTTTGGAATTCTAGGGGATAACCGTGAATTGCAGATCGAATAATTTATAATAATAAACGCTATTTCTCTCTAGTTTTCACTAATTCTGCTAGTATTTCTACTAGTTTGTTCTAATACTGCTATTTTTTGCTAATTTCTCTAGTACGTCAACGTAATAACTGAAATGTGTTTACGTAAATGTTTCAAGTTGACACTTTCAACGTGTATATTTGAAGCAGGCACTAGCGTATACGTTTTCAGTAAGAAATCTGTCATCAAATCTACATTTCCGATTGCAATTCGTAAATTGTAGTTAATACAGATGAAACGTGCTTGGTTACGTGCCATTGAATATATTTTTAATTAAAAATGAGGAAAAGCGTATTTAACTACATATTTTGATACATTTTAGTTCAACACTATTCAATTCGTTTGTTTTGTGAATTTTATTTTAATTAATTATTTCAATATATTCAAGAATAAATGCTTACTAAAGTATATACGTGTACAGTGCTAATTCTGCTATTTATTGCTAATTTTGCTATTTTCTTCATGTAAATTTCCCTATTTTTTTGCTAATGTGCTAATTCTAATTCGCATGGATATCCCCTAGTTGGAATTGCTTTTCGAATTAAAAATTGGGTCAGCCTACACATTCTATTCTTTAATTTTTCTTGAAAACTTTTTGTTTATTGAGTTAAAATTGGAGGCAATACAACGCTACACCATTTATTCAAAAAACTCAGCAATACAAAATTTTCACATTTACTTTTTGTTTCTTCTGGAGATTTTTCATCTGTTCGACTTGATTTCCGTGAGAAAAAAAAATGCGATTGGATTTAATGAATTTGCGACATCAGTGAGCTTTAATGCATACCGAATCGAGAAGGGGACATGGGAAATTCAAATCGTTTTACGTGGTCGAAAATGGTTGCCTAACAAAAAAATAAACGACCCACTCATCCAAACAAATATTTAAGCACTTAATTCCCTAAGTTATGTAATCAGTGCGTTGTTCCTTGACTTCACAGCTGTTTCGAATGGTTCCATTGATGCGCGCTCAATGCCCATGCTTTTAGCTCAAACAACGCTTCAAAATAAATGTACGTACATACCTTTTCCACTGGAGCTATTTCCGTGAGCAAAATTGAGATGTTTACAAAAGCCATTGTTGGTGTGCGTCATGTGCTTACAACCGCATGGCTAACAAGAAATGGGGCCACAAATTATGGTTTATTCAATGAATGATGGTGAATTTAAAAATGAACTCATGACAGTTACAAATGCCGGTGAACATTATTTACCATACAATTTAGCTGAACGACATTTGCTGTATAATACATAATCAAATTGTTTTCCCAATATTTGTTCACCATTTGTTGTGATTGTAGCACCTTGGATAGATAGAAAAGAAAGAACAAACAGTATTTTTCTTTAATATTTGAAGAAGCATTGTTACGTTCGCCAACTGTGAATGCACTATATTTTCTATCCATAGACGCGCGTTTTGTACAGTTGATACGGAAAAGGATGTTTCTTTTCGAAAGCTTGTCTCCGGGGGCTTATTCAAGTTTTTCAATGAAACATCACTTCCTACGCTTTTGCTTATTTTCTATTCCATTGAGGCAATCTATGATTCACCTGAACCATAAAAAATGCTAGACAAATTTGCGTAGAAATTCCGTTTAATAAAACAAATTGGTATAGCACTTGAATTTTGGAACAACAACCAAAAATAAATCTCACGCCAACGCCATATTTTGAAGAATGCAGAAAAAAATCGAAAAAATGTGGTGATGGTGTAATAGATGTGTATTCATTACAGGAACTTAATCTGACTGATGGAAGCAATTGGAATTAATGAAATGGATACAATCATATATATATTGTGATTATATCAAAGGAACGCAGCTGTATTCTCACAACTAGTTACTGCGTTGGCTGCTACTCACATTACAGTATGTGTGCGGCACAAAGACTATGTGAGTGTGTCTTTCGCTTCAATTATTGTTGTTATTGTAGTCGTGTGAAAAATTACACGCCTCTAGACTGTTTACGACCACCATCGATAAAAGAAAGAAAATTGATATGAATAACGGAAAAAAAATTGTACACATCTAAAATGATAGCATCTTTGAAACGTCAGGTTCAGAGAGACGGAAAAAAACATGATAAATATGCAAACATTCACGGGCTTTGTTTGGTTCTCATCAACATTTGAAAATGAGGAACTAAGGTCAAACTCACAAACAAAATAGATATTTTTCCAGTTGGCTTCTTGAAACACCTCAAGATTTGTATAGTCGACTTGAGTTACAATTTACAAAATTGAACCATGTCAAACGTGATTTTTTCTCACTCGAGACAGTGGGAGTTCACCCGTTACGAACCGGGTAACCCGAAAAACGTAAACAAACAGACAATACAAACAAATTTAAGCGATCTATGTCCGATAGACAACTACTGGAAATTTCTTTTGATTTAATTGTGCGTATCATTTTCTGCCGAATCATTTGGTTACTCGATTTGGTACGATTTAAATCACTGATGCGCAGATAATTTTCATGAAATCGAATATTGGCATGCATAAGACTTTTCGTAATCCTTTTGAGAGTAGATTTTTTAGATGGTGTATTACAATTTGCAATAATCCAATATCAATGGTCCAATCAGACAAATATACTCACTTCTCGGTAGACGTAAAGGTGAAATAGATTCTACCAGAGATATTTCGCAAAAATAACTCAAATGTGGTTACGTTTTGCAAACTAAGTATTTGGCATGAAAATTTATTGGATTTGTCGGTCGATTTTCAGCAACGTCAGCCAATCATATATGCCACTGAAAACGGTACTGAAGTACGCTTCCCTTCAATTCCATGAAAATCCGAATAAATAGATGTATTTCTATGGCCTCATGCAAAACAATGTAAACTAAGAGTACGTCCGTATACCGAGACTTGAGAGATCTTCACTAGGGGCGATTTGGCATTTAAATAAAAAAACATCCTATTTTTCCACAATTTCAATTAAAAAGAAACCTGTAGAACAGCATATCACCTTTCTGAATAGCCAATGATATTTTCGAGCATTGGTGCTGAGCGCGTCAAATAAAACGCAACGACACATAATCAAAATAAAAAAAAAACATTTATGCTTTATGATGATGACTTTCCTTCTGACGGCTGAGCATCCGCGTCTGAGGATGTCAGGAGATATTCAGATAGCTGATATACTACTCTTGTAACTATCTATGTTGCAATTTATAACTTATTGTGAAATGCTACAATATTGTGGCAAAATGCATACCAATTTTATTTCGAATAGTTCAACTTAACCATATTTTGAATATAATGAATACCAATTGAATGCACCACAAATGAACTTAGTTTGGAATTCGCATATTCCATTCACCGCCTACAGACCATACATAATATTGGTCTCTCTTTTGTTTTCCGCAATTCCATAGATGCGCTGGTCAGAGTTACTTTTGGTCTGATGTTTTTGTTGTATTTTCAGTGTTGATGTTCGACAATATGAAAACAATAGAAGAATGGAAGTCAAAAATATACAAACCCACATCAAACAAAGCACAG